ATATTTTCAAAAGGTATTAATATTTTAAAATATTAAAGTATCAAAACCTATCTAATATAAAAAATACTAATACCTATCTTTGGGTATCAATATTTTAATATTTTCAAAAGGTATTAATATTTTAAAATATTAAAGTATTAATACCTATCTAATATAAAAAATATTAACACCTATCTTTCTTTCTCACTTCTTACTGAAATTTCCTATTTTCAATCAAATCTCACAAATGCAAAATTTGACAATATTGTTATTATAATTTTACAATATTGTTCAATGACCATTTCGAAAGAAGTTTAATACTTATCTTTCCAATTTCTCATTCTCTCTCTCTCTCTCTTTCATTACGTTTTCTTCTGCAAAAGTAAAATCTCCACTCTGATATCCAGGAATACGGGAAACTGATCACGAAATACGAGGAACGACGTCTCAGTCTGATCAAGTCCGAGATACTGTTCGATCTGCCAGCGACTGATTACTCAATCTTCCTGAAAATCAAGAAAGACTACGAGGGGATGCAGCTGCTGTTCAATCTGTACAAGGAACAGAGGGGCATGAGGGACGTGTGGGCGCAGACACTCTGGGTGAACCTGGATCCTCAACAGCTGATCGATGGGATGGATCACTTTATCAGAGAGTTTCGCAAACTGCCGCGATTCGTGAAGGAACTGAGCGTTGGGCAGGCTTTGGACACGAACATGAGCAGCTTCAAGAATTCCGTGCCGCTGTTCATCGAGTTGAAGAACGAAGCGATGAGGGAGAGACACTGGAAGCAACTGATGGAGAAAACTGGACGATATTTTGATATGGATCCGGACAGGTGCGATCGCGGTGAAAAATAAATGAGAAAATTGTGCAAGAGTGTGACATCAGTGTGAGGTGTTTGTGGTACATTTTTTAGACCAACTTCTGTGCTTTTTCTGTCGTGTTTCTCGAAATTTTAAAATAGGTGACAAAGCTTTCAGCCCTTTGCTTGTTTTATGGATTTATTAGAAGAAAGAGTTTTATAGCTAAACTTGGAAAATACCGTTGATTTTATTTTATATTTTTGTTCTATTCGTGAATTTATTTCGTACTTTTTTTTTTTTAAATCGATTAACTTATTAATACTTGCATTAATAATAATAATAATAATAATAATTGCGGTCTTGGAATACCGTAGCTGTAGAACTGTTAAAATTCTACGGGCATCGACTTTCTCGTAAAACTTTTAGAAAGAAATATTAGCAGAGAAGCTTATAAAATTAGGTTATAGGGAATATATTTATAGGAAGATCATTTCACGTGATAGTTACATTTTAAATATTGTAGAATTAGAAGTCTTACTGTGAGAACTTTGTATGATTATCTTATAACATCGAGTCATGCGAATTATCGTTCCGATTTGAAGTGATAGCCAATCTTTAAACTTAAATTCTTCAAATTGACATCTTTTAATTGATTCACGTTTCAATATTTTACACGACGTAACAAATGCTTCTCGGAGACTGAAAAATGAATCATAAGGCAAGCGTAGTTGAAAAGCATCTAGGGGATCTAATTCATTTTTTTTTTTACAGAATTTTTGTTTCAATAACTGTTCGTAATATTCATAATATATATATATATATGTGATATAATTTATATAAAAGTATGGGAGAGAACGAGATAGAGATACTGAAAGGGTGAGTTCATTCTCAATGATCTCTCGATCAAGATCTAGTCGCTCCACGTGCAAACGTAATAGACGTTTGTACATTAACGCAGGTTCACCCTGGAGAACATGTTCGCCATGGAGTTAGGAAAATACCAAGAAATAGCTCGAGAAATCGTGATGAATGCGGTGAAAGAGCTCGCCATAGAAAGGGGCTTGAAAGACTTGGCTGAAGTCTGGAAAACCATGGAATTCACCGTGGTGAAGCATTACAAAGGTACATAAGTGCTCTCGATGTTATAATGGAACAATGTTGATTTAGTTAAACAGTAACGTGTTTAAAAAAAAATTTGTAAATTTTTCTCAATCTTTTACCATCTCTGTACTATTATAATCCATCTCTATATTACTATAATACTATAATCAATCTCTATATTACTATAATACTATAATCAATCTCTATATTATTATAATTGCTTCGAAAAATTTCGTAGACCTATAATAATGTATTTCTAAAGATTTAAGTATTTAAACAAAAGCTTCTGTATTTTACTGTATCAAATAACTTGCAATTTAATTTCTCTGTCGCGGATAGTTATAGTTTAACTGTAGCAAGAAATGAAATTTTTCATTTCTCAGGTACCGAGGATCGAGGATTCATTCTGGGACCGATCGACGAGTTGAATCAGATCCTTGAGGACAACATGATGAACGTGAGCGGCATGGCAGCCTCGCAGTTCATCGGCCCTTTTCTCAGCGCCGTGCAAAAATGGGAGGTCACGATGCACACGATATCCGAGGTTCTCGAATTATGGATGCAGCTACAGAAGAGATGGCTGTACCTCGAGGGTATCTTCGTGGGCGGTGACATAAGATTCCAATTGCCAGACGAAGCGAAGAAGTTCGACGAAATTGACAAGTCCTTTAAGAAAATTATGACGGATACCTCGAAGAGGCTGAACGTTCTCAAGTGTTGCACGATTAAAGGTAAGCTAATGAGCTTGTCAAACGATCGTTACAATCAATCATTCTATACAAAGCTAAGACTGTGATTTGGAAACGAACTCTAGAAATGTGTGTGTTTAGGGGTACTTTTTGTTTGAGCAACGGTAAGATGAAACTAGCAGAATGAGAATTATTTGCAAGCACTTTAAACTGATATATTAACATATAATATATGTTATATAATATAATAATTTTCTTAGATATATATTGTATAATATAATATAATATAATATATATTATATATTATACAACATATTAATTTTCTTTAATCTATTTTAATAATTAATCTATTTGCAATACATTAATTTTCACGTTTTTTTGCTGCAGTCACGCTATATTTGAAATAAATTGTATAAATTTTTGGTCCCTACTTACTTCCATCTCCGATTCTTTGAATACAATATATTTCAACAACTATAAAAATTGCAATGTAAAATAAAAAAATAAAAAATATAATAACAGTAATAATATAATATAATATAACATAATAGTAGTATTTTATAGTAATATAAAATATAAAATGAAAGAATTACATAATCAGATAATATATTTAATATAAAAATTATATTATATAAAATTATATCAGTAAATGATGAAAATTAGAATCAGTAAATGTTGATTAACAATCGTTTTATCAAAATTCTCATCACTGTGACAATGCTTGAAGAAGCTAGTCCAAATCTATCTGTCAATCTGAAAAAGTAAAAATTTTCCACCACCGGGAGTACACGCGACAGTTTGACAAATGTAGCTTCAGATCTGAGTGAAATCTGGTGATCCAGGTCGACGAGAGGAGTTCGAATCGATGATCCGTGCACTGGACAAGTGCCAGAAGTCGCTGACAGACTACTTGAACAGTAAACGAGCCGTTTTCCCGAGATTCACTTTCCTGAGCGACGACGAGCTGCTGAACATCCTTGGCAGCGGCGTGCCCGCCGCCATTCAAGAACACGTGGCCAAGATGTTCGATAATTTGGACAGATTCCGGTTCGAATTAAACGACACCGAACGCGTGATTGCCGCAGCGTTGATCTCGTGCGAGGAGGAGGCGATGGATTTCAGAAACGTGGTTCTGGCCGAGGGGAAGATCGAGGAGTGGATGGTGCTCGCTCTGGACGAGATGAAGAGATCGAACAGATTCCTGACGAAGAAAGCTGTCTACAATTATGGGAAAGTAGGTGCAGTCGAGCTTCTCGGAGGGAATTCAGAAAATTGAAATGAAATTGGATTCTATATCAATAGAATATCGATGGAATTTCATATAAATTAAATTATTATATATTATTAATATATAAATTATTATATACTATTAATACTATTAATAGACTATTATATACAATTAATAGATAAATTATTATATACTATTAATATATAAGTTAAATTTATTTTAATTTATATATTATTAATATATATAATTATTATGTTCTATTAATATATAAATTAAATTTATTTAAAAAAAACTAGATATTAATAAATACGACAAACATTTAATTTCTAAATATATATTTATTTTTTTTATTTTATAAAAAATATATATATATATTTAAGTCATTTACTTTCGAGATAATTAAATTATTAAAAATAATTAATTAAACCTAATACAAAGGGTACAAGATAAATTTTACTTTTCTACTTTTAAAAAAATTCATTTTCATTACTTTGAACTGCTAATAATATTGTTAAATTTTTAATTATTACTAAAATATATTTTTATTACAAAATTTTAGTTGATTATATTTAAAATTTAAAAATTTTTTTTCATATTACAATTGAAAGGGATTGTTAATAGATTTCGTGGATTTCAGAGGGGACCAGGAATTGTTGAAATATTAACAGAACATCAATGGGATTAGTATTCTACTTGAATGAAATTATTAAAAGAACTCGTGGATTTCAGTGGAGATTACGTATTTTTGAAACTGAAATGTCAATAGATCAATGGGATCAGTATTCTAGTTGAAAGAAATTGGATATTTTGAAGGGAATTAGGAACTTTTCATTGAACTTCTTTCTATCCCATTTAAGTAACTGGAATGAAATTTTTCAGATCAGAAGACCTAGGACGAACTGGATGCTAGACTTTCAAGGAATGATGATCCTGGCGGCTGATCAAATATGGTGGACAGCAGAGGTGGAGGACGTGTTCGTGAAAATGTCTCAAGGGCAGATGCGTGCTATGAAAGACGTACGCTCCTGTTTGAATTATTCACGTTGCAACTACCTAACGAAAATCCCTCCTTATTAAAAATAATTCGTTCTCAGTATCTGAAGCAACTGAACAGCCGATTAAACGAGGTGGTGACGTTGATGGGCAGTGACACGTTGACGAACAACGACAGAAAGAAATTTGATATGGTGTTGACGCTTGACGTTCACATGAAAGATATTGTGGAGGGTTTCGTCAGAGACAGTATTATGGATCCTGCGGAATTCGAGTGGGAAAGTCAATTAAGGTTCGTTTCCATTCTAATTAGCAGAAGAGATGAAGATTTTTAAATAATTAAATTCAATTCAATTAAATAATTAAGATTTTTAATAAAGATCGTTTGCTTTATCTGTGATAACTTAATACTACTTTTTTAATTCGATAAATCGACTGAAAATCAGTAGCTTCAAATAGGAATATTTCTTTAAATACTGGTGTTATGATACGTAATACCTTTTTGTTAATATAACTAAAGAAATGGAATCTACATAAATAATTAAATAACCTATTCATAACAGAACATATCTAATGTACATAAATAACTAAACATAATCTAATAACTTATATATAACTAAATATAATATATATTATAATATACTACAATATAGTATAATATAATATAATATAATATAATATAATATAATATACTATAATATAGTATAATATAATATACTATACTATAATATAGTATAATATAATATAATATAATATAAAATATAATAAAGTATAATATAATATAATATAGTATAATATAATATAATATAATAACCCATTCATAACTAAATACATAACTAAATAACTACAAAAATAACTAAAAAATCTACATACACACGTAACTGAAGACTTGTTAAGATTTATTTCATCCACAATCATAAAATATCGATTTCTGGACGAAGGTTTTATTGGGTCCACGATCTGGATAACCTCTGGATACAGCAATGCACGGGAACGTTCGAATACGGCTACGAGTACATGGGGCTCAATGGGAGACTCGTTGTTACACCTTTGACTGACAGAATATACCTGACTATTACGCAAGCTCTATCAATGCATCTGGGTGGAGCTCCAGCAGGTATAGTGACGAAAAGTCGTGAAAATGTAACGAAAAGGAAATCGTACGTCCGTTTTTGTATAAAAATTTTTAATAGAAAATATAAAATCTCCTTAACAAGGATATTCTCTCCAATAATAATAACATTTATGATGATAATTTTTAATAATGGTAATATAATAATTACCATTACTATTGCTATTATTATTACCATTATCATTATCATTATTATTATTAAAGAAATTTTACATTTTCAACTAAAAGTTGGAAATTATTTCAAAAAGACGCAACAAACTCTGCGTGCAACTCCGTTTTTCATTTTACCAGGGCCAGCTGGAACCGGAAAGACAGAGACTACGAAAGACTTGGCAAAAGCGCTAGGATTATTGTGCATCGTCACAAATTGCGGCGAAGGGATGGATTACGTGGCGATAGGGAAGACACTGGGTGGCCTTGCGCAGTGTGGAGTATGGGGTTGCTTCGACGAATTCAATCGCATCGATGTTTCCGTGCTATCCGTCATTTCCACGCAGCTTCAAACAATACGCGCCGCTCTGATGGCGAAAGCGTCCAGATTCTTGGTATGAGAATAATAGCGAGCTTGAAAAAAAATTTCATTCCACTGGAGATATTTCTTGAAAATATCGTGTCTTACGCAGTGTCTTAATATTTTTTTCCCCAAGCATCTCTTTTTTTTTGTGGTAAAACAAATTCAACAACCATTTGCCAAATTTCTATAAAAGAAAATTGCTAACAAATGGCAAGTTCAGCATTTTTTTACTGAATTTAACAATTTTGCATCTGTCCGTTCATTTAATTTCAATGATCGACCTCACGATCGATCTGTCACTCATCTTAATTTCATTATTATCATCATTTACAAGCATCCAGCATACCAATATATCGAATTTACGTTTAAAAGTGATCACATTACCGCGACAATTGTCATTTTCTGCTAATCACGATAAATTATCATGTAAATAAATTAAATATAAATTTCAATATAATTAAATATAAATATAAATTTATCACGATAACGTGATATTGCAAATTACTACATGCGTTCAAATTTAAATTCAGGCCGAAAAAATTCTCCAATTGCATTTAAAACGCCTCCCCTAGTTCGAAGGATACGACATAGTGCTGGACACGAAAGTGGGCATATTCATCACGATGAATCCGGGATACGCCGGCCGAACGGAACTGCCGGAATCGGTGAAAGCCCTCTTCAGGCCAGTGGTGTGCATAGTTCCGGATAACGAGCTGATTTGCCAGATAAAGTTGTTTAGCTCCGGCTTCTTGACCGCCAAGGCTCTGGCCAAGAAGATGACCGTCCTGTACAAATTGGCAAGCGAACAACTGAGCAAGCAGAACCACTACGACTTCGGTTTGAGAGCACTCAAGTCCGTGCTCAATATGGCCGGCCAGCTGAAGAGAACTTCCGGCGACCTGGCCGAGGACGTGGTGCTCATGAGGGCGCTCCGCGACATGAATTTACCGAAATTTATCTACGACGACGTCCCCTTGTTCCTTGGACTTATCGCTGATCTATTCCCGGACCTCGACTGCCCGCGGGTTCATTATCCCGATTTCAACGAGGCTGTTAATCAAGTACTGCACGAGCAACGATACACTGTTCTGTCTGTGCAGGTATTCTAGTATTCTTTCCTTTTTATTTTAGAATTTATTTAAATCCAAATCCGATCTGAAACTTTTGACATTTTGCACGTCTCTAATAAAATTCAGAATCTTGAATTAAATTTGATTAGAATTTATTGACTTTGGGAACTTTAAAACGTATTGAATTCTAAAAATAATTTGTACGTCTATTTTATACATAAATATTATATTATTTTTATTTTTAGTGGTTAGTCTTGAAGTTAGTTATTAGTCTAGAATTTTTAGTTATTAATTACTCTATATATAAATATTATATTATTTATATATCTATTTTATATATCTAATTTATATATTTATATATTATTAACACTTTATTATCATCGCCACGAATAATCAGAACATTCTTAATTTATATTGAGAAGTAATTTGAAAATTATTATATTTGAAAAATATACATTATTTACATTATTATCTTCTGTATTGTAATTAAATTCGTAAATTAAGTTTCGTTGAGAAATATTGAAATTGCAAGTGAAATCGACCTGTTCGAAGTGATCAGGAACTGTATGTGCATATGTTGATCATAATTTTTTAAATGGGAATTTCATAAAAGTTACCTTGAGCATATTGTGCTAATTATTTGACTGGCAAATATTTTAATTCCGTAGTGTAATAAACGACACAGATTTTCAGAAAAGTATTCTAACTTTGTAGATAGATAAAGTGGTTCAACTGTACGAAGTAATGATGACTAGACACTCAACAATGGTGATTGGACCAACAGGAGGTGGAAAGACTGTCGTGATTGAAACTCTTTGCAAAGCTCAGACTCGTCTTAACAAACCTACCAAACTCTACATTTTGAATCCAAAGGTATAAGTATAAGTATACTTACAATATAAATATACTATAAGTATACTAAAAGTATTTCTTCAATATGATTAACTGCTTAATAGTCGTGTCTCTGAACAGGATTTGTATAAATTTGTAAATCAAATCACAGTAATTTGTAGTAATCGGTATATACTTAAACCGATGTTCAATTTATTTATATTAATTATTAACAGCAATATACATTCAAAGTAATTCAATCTCGAGAAGAGAGAAAATTGCAAAAACAATATATACTGTCCTTTAAAATCTGTTCTTTTTCTCCTTTTCGCCAACGTTACGTGTTCATTAAATGCTGAACACTGAAATTTATTACTTATTTTTTAAATTATTATAATTTTTATTTATTTTATAATTTAACGCTAAAACTTCCAAGTGACTTTATACTTTCTAAAGAATCAAAACTAACGAATTGTCAATAAAATTTTACTTAGGCATGCACCGTGAACGAACTTTATGGAGTGTTGGATCCAACAACTCGCGACTGGACAGACGGTCTCCTGAGTAACATTTTCAGGGAAGTGAACAGACCATTAGACGCGAATAAGGATGAAAAGAAATATATCTTGTTCGACGGTGACGTGGATCCACAATGGATTGAGAACATGAATTCCGTGATGGATGATAATAAATTATTGACTCTGGCTAATCAAGAAAGGATCAAGATGCAGAATCACTGTAGTCTGCTGTTTGAGGTGATTGTAACTGATATTTATGAATTATTATTTGAAAGCAATTCTCATTATATTAATCAAGATTATCCTTGTTTGATATAATCGTTTCAAGATCATTTAGAAAGTAAATCAATAGACATCATTTTTATACGACGAGCTTTCTTCTAATTTATAAAGAATTTCATTTAAAACTACATAAAACGGTTTTATCATTGACTTAATAAGTGGTCACGACACATTACGAAAAGTATTTTCTAAATTGCCATAAAAACATAATATAAATTTCTGGATATCGAGAAATTAATTACAGAAAACTTTCAATATTCATAAAACATAAAATTATCGAACATTTGGCAACAAGAAGAAAATCGAAATTCGAACTCCAAATCCTATTATTGCCCAAAATAATCTACAACTTTTCTCCTAAATTGATGTTACATCCAGATAATGATTTTCACGATGGCAATCTGTCGTCATGCTCAAACGATTCATAAAAATAAAAAATAATCTATATTTTCCACACAGAAATGTTATTCACTAACTCTGAAACATTACACTTAAATCTTATTTTATTGTATCTTATAATTATTTCAAAACCATATCGATCTAATTGTGTCTATTTTAAATAATTACCTAATAAATTCATTTTTAATAATTATCTTGTTAATTCATTTTTTTAAAGGTAGGTGACCTGCAGTATGCTTCGCCAGCCACTGTGTCCAGAGCTGGCATGGTGTACGTGGATCCAAAGAACCTGGGCCATCAGCCTTACATGGACAAATGGATAGAGAGTAAAAACAAATCGGACCAGGAGCCATTGCGCGGATTCTGCGAGAAATACGTAAATGGCGCGATAGCGTTCATTATAGAAGGAATGCTCGGATTGCAGCAACTCAAACCGCTTAAGATGATCATACCTCAAACGAGTCTCAACATGGTAGCAATTAATTCTTTGTATGCTAATTAGCTGGTATTTTTTTCATGGATCTAGGAAAGTCTTGTGATTGAACTATAAATTTAATACAGGATGGACTAAAAGTTTCTTCCCATCTATTCCTTTTTTTTAAATAAAAAAAAAAAATAGGAATTATTAATTTTAAATTAAATTTAAGTTCAAAGATTAAAAAGAATTATTTTAGTATCTTGGCCTTTAGTATCCTGTATTTTCACGAGCACAATTGAAGATGAAGGAGGATGTGTCGAGCAACAAACGTTCTGTTTCAATATTATTTCAGTTCGCTAAAACTGTCGTTTAAAAAATGTTATAACGTCCCAAAAAAAAAAAAAAAAAAAAGTAACAGCACGCAGTATCTTCGCTCGGTTATTTCAAATTATGTCAGACATGCTGCAGGGAATTGTCAGCGAGAGGAGTTTCTTGTTTAGGTAGTACAACTCTGTTACGTATTCGACGGTCTCCTCGCCGTTCTGAATTCTCAACTACCTCTTGTTACCAAACTCGAGGAAAACGAAGAAATAAGGGCAGAGCCATTATTCGCCAGAGAGGAAGTTCTCGAGGCAATGTATATTCAAGCTTGCTACTGGTCCTTGGGAGCGTCCTTAGCTAGCGAGCACAGGCCTAACTTCGACGATTATATAAAGAGAACTTCTGGATACATGATGGTGCAGGATACTGCCGAGAAACGAGCTACTGTGCGTGAGTTTCACGAAATAATTAAAAATAATTTTTTTTTATTCCCGCAGATGTTTCGACCATAGTGACTCGATAGAGGTTCGAACATTTGCCACGAAAGAATACTGTTGTATATAATATTGTACGTTTGTACATTTCAATCATGTCATTCCAATATCTGGAAAGGTTTTCAATGTTGATTTTTTTCGAAAACAAAGGTTCTAAAAAGTTTTATCTTCACTTTCGATTTATTTTTCCATATATATGTGAAATCTCTGGCTGTATGAAAGACTTTCTGATTTCAAGGACATCTCGTCATATCTAGCGGAGAATTATTTCTCTAAGTGTTACGTAACACTTGAAAGTTTCGAAAGAATGAAACTTTGAAAGAAACATTTCATTGTTTATTCCATTTAAATCTATTGGAATAAAAATTCAACTTGAAACTTTCTTCTCCGCTAAAATAAAACGTTCTAGTCAATTGCACCATCACTTACATGAAAATTACAAGATATTTACTATACTTTCCCCTTTTCTCGAAATGCCTGATTAAAGAAGATTCAGATTTAATCAACAAACGTTCGAACTTACTTACGATCTGCTTGAACCCATCGCTAGCTGCAATTTAAGCTACTCGAATTATCGACAGGGTACATTCCCGTGACGGAAAAGTTACTATACGATTATTTCTTGGACTTGGAGAAGAATATCTGGCTTCCATGGAAAGTTCTGGTCTCTGATTACGTTCACGACAGAGAGAAGAATTTCTCCGACATTTTGGTCCCTACTCTAGACACCCTGAGAACTACGTGGTTCGTTCAGATGATGAACGAACGAAATCGGCCGGTTCTTTTAGTTGGCGAGACTGGCACCTCGAAAACCGCTATAATTCACGAGTTCCTCCGAAATTTGAGCACCGAAAAATACGTAAGTTTTAGAATTATTTCACAAATTTAATATTGTAATGTAATTTAATATCAACCCTCTGTTATATACGTAACTTGTGGGACCCACTTCGGGAGCTGATTGTTCGCCTAAAAATAATGAAAAAAAGTCATATAAATGTATGTCCTATCTGTCTTCGTTTATGAGATATAATGAATTTCCTGTTTTAATTACTTTTACAAAAGATGCTCGAAATGACCAGCTTGCATTTGAAGACAAGCCTGCACGCGTCTTGTCATTCATCTGGTTACTCTCTCT